AAGAAACCAAAAAGTAAAAATATGCTTAATATTTCTCAAGTGGAAATACCTGAAGAAAACATTCAAACCTGAAGTTGCAATACTGGAGGATTCTTTGTGCAAAATATAGAATAATGCAGGGAACACGGAAAGAAAACAGAAGGAGCACAGAAAATGACTGAATAACAACAAAATCAATCCATAAGTAAAAGCTAAAGTCAATGATCAACCATTTCAGAAGCAACATATGATTAAGACATAATAGTATTAAAGGAATAAGTCACAACTGTGCTTAAGGCATTGGTGGAAAACAAGTGTGATAGTTAGGTTTATTGTGTCAACCTGGCCAATGAACACACGTAGGATTAATTGAAGGGCCGTTTAATTGAAAGACGAAGAGATAAATGGCTCAGCGAGCTTTGCCTTTCTTGTCTCTAGCTCTCTGATGGTCCAACCAGTGTGCAGCTGTCTTAGCTAGGTCTCTGCCTCAACTGGTGAGGCTCACCTCCTGTGAGATATCCCTGAGGAGAAGCCACATGGACCTACCCTGTTGCAGCCTTGGGTGCTGGAGAAACTGCGTAGAGACCCCTGCCAGCGCTGAGATGCGTACACATTCACTGACTCAACTTTCCTCCTGCAGTCGGCATCCTTGAGTGTGTTTCATGATTTTGAGGAGGCCTTTATAGATCAGTGTCAGACATATGTGCTAATGTCGGACTTAAGGCTTGGACTGGCCTGGGTTGGGATGCTTTCTTAATATGCATTTACCCTTCATATAAAACTATCTCTTATACACATAGATGAGTTTCTGTGGATTTGTTTCTCTAGTCTACCCAGACTAACAACAAGTATCTAAGATTTGCTGGAATACCAACTGAGACGTTTGAATATTTAAATGGATGCAACACTGGAAGCACTCACTCTTCTATGGCAAGGAATTTGCAAGCCAACTACTTGGACAACCAATTCAAAGAGTGCCTATGCCAAAGAAAGTGAATGCAATAGAATGCAGAAATTAAAAGGCAATATTATTAATATCATATGCAAGTAAAATTATGTTGATTTTTTTACGTTGTAGACAGGCACCGACTGGGAATTTCCCAAAGAAATTCAAGCCAGTTTCAGAAGAAGCCATGAAATTAGGGATATTATTGCTGATGTCACATAAATCTTGACTAAAGGCAGAGAAGAGAACTGTTTACCCGTGTTTAATTAAATATGTAAAGACATTAGACTGAGTTATTTTTGATAACTTGTGGGTAACATTGTGAAGAGTAGGAATTGCAGAAAATGACATTGTGATCATATAGAATCTATTCATAGATCAACAGGCAGAAGAAAACATGGGAATGGTTTGAACATGGTTTAAAGTCATAAAATTATGCATCATAATTGTATTATTTTACCATAGTTATTCAATTGTATGTTTAGCAAATAATCTTAAAGCTGGTCTATCTAATGAAGAATGTAGCATCAGGATTGCAGGAAGAATCATTAATATCCTGATTTATGTATGTGCCATAACCTTGTTTGCTGAAAAGCAAGCACTTACTGATAAAATTAAAAAAACTATAGCTATCACTTTGATGAATCTGGTGCACCTGCAGTCTTTTGGGTCATCTCATATGTGTGTGAAAGCTGAAAGATCAAGGAAGAACTTGATGATAAATGTTAAGCATGTCATGATTGTCAGAAGAATGAACAACGCTGAATTGGGAAAAGAACATTCAGAATGTTCAAGACCAACAAGATTTTATCTCATGCTCTTTGGGTTCAACCATATTAGGAAGGGCCAGACCTTGGATAATTTGGGGGTTTTCTATAGAAACAAAACCAGTAGGTTTTCTAGAGAGAAAAAAAACACCAGTGAATCTTAGCTAAGTATATATGGAGAAAGCTTTATTTCTAGGAATATCTCGCAGTTGTAGAAGAAGTTTAAAGTTCAATTTTTGTATCAGATGTCAGGCTGGTGGTTTCTCCTGACTCAAATAGTTGTAGGGTTTGATCAATCCAAAAACAGCAGATTAGATGGCAGACTTCTGGCTGCACAGGCAATCAAATCAAAATTTGGCAGGTCAGATGGCAAGTTATTGATGAATTCAAGAATCAACGGACAATACAGCAAGCTCTGACTCCAATCCAAATAATCAGAGGTTAGATGACAAACTAGGTACAATATCCAGACATAGTCAAAGACAGGCCATCTACTCTACAGCATCCACTTCTATTAGAAAGATATCACATCTCCTAGAATATCTCATTATTGGGGGCTTATTAGAATTTGACCTCCAAACCACAGATCATTCTCACCCAGACAAGTTGACAGAAAACCTTAACATGACGGTAAGCATAAAAGAAAAAGACTTTTAAGGACTGATGCTTGGCTGCAACAGTAAGTTCAAACAAGGCGATAATTATGAGAATGGCACAAGATTCAGTAGCATATCATTCAGTTTTATTTAAAGGTATTGTGAGTTGAAAGTAACTTGATGGCACCTAATAATAAGGAGCTCTGGTGGAACTCAGGTAAGCACTGACTGTTAACTGCAAGGGTGATTGTTTAAACACACAGGTTGCTCTGCAGGAGAGGGATGAGCTTATTTGCTCCTGTAAAGATTTA